TGGTTTTATTAAATGTTGGAAAAACTAATTTTATTCTTAATTCTGTAGTTGAGAGTAAAATTGACTATCATTCGAAACTTCATTTGTGGAGTCTTTGGTAGCTACCTAGGCTACTAGATCACCTCATTATGGAGCTGCCTCTGATTAGAAGAGTAATCAGAGGTTTTGTATTTGTACGGAGGAGTCCATTTACTGTCTAAAACATATAATATTAAATAACCATAGATTCTAAATGGAAGATAATCCATAAGTTATTTGTTACCAAAGATAATCACTTCATAGGAATACATAAGTTGGGGCAAATCTATTGCATAAAATTCAATAATTTGTGCTGAAGTAATTAAGTTACCTTAACAGGCCTATTGTTGATTTTACTGTCTTTTTGCATCCAGTGTTTTTGCTTTTCATTTGTAAAAGATGAAGAAGACACATGATATGAGTTTGGCTCATGTGCCCGAATATAGCTCCACAGGGAAGACTTGATAGAGCTGAAGCTATTGCTTTTTAGAGACCTTTTATTTTGAGCAACTGCCTTAACAGCCTTCATCTTGTTATATGAGCTATATCTCTACAATAGGAAGAGAAAGATATGACTGAGCAATACTTTTTGGTTTAAACTTAAAATTGCAAAATCAAAAACAGAGATGGATACCCTGAAGTTATATTTTTTATAATATATGACAGATACACAATTTTCTTACCCAGTTTTAAAGCATTCCCTTAATCCTTGGAGGTTTTTGTTTTGTCTCATTCACACAAACTCTTTGCCATAAACTATTGCATTTTGGTTTAGTAGTTTGCGTCCTTATCCAGAAGGCATCTCAAAGGGCTCATCTACAAAAATAGATCCTAGGGCCACTCATTCTGAAGGACAATTCAGTACTTCCTTCCCCACCCCTTGGTGCCCCTATAAGCACATGAAAAACAGTTCATCAGCTGTTAATGTAATATAAGGAATGAATTATGCTTGTTCATCTAATTGTGCTTAACCAAAGGACTAGGATGCAGTCAACCACAGCTTTATTTGTGAGATGTGGAAAGAATGGGTTTTAGTCTATATACCTAAGTCAGCTAGGAACCTCGCTGATGCAGTGTCAACATGTCTCAGGCATTCTTCATGCCTGTGAGTTTAGAAATTTATATGTTCTCTAAAAGTACCAGTAATATACTAGAATATCACATAACATTCCAAGCCACATTTACATAATTGCAGTGGATATAATTAATAACAATTACATTAATGTTTGACCCCTATGGCTGATTGACTCAATTTACTAGTCAAGAAATAATTCAAATTACCTTTTCATTTCAGTTAAGGAACTAGTCAGAAAATTCACTTTGATTTGTTGGGAGGTAGAGGTTCTCTCTTAAGTGACTCCTTGGCCTTCTAAACTAAAGACTGAATCGAACTGCAATATGTATTTTTGTGATACTTTGCCTCATTTGATTCTTTTACTCTTTAATTGAAGTCCGTTTTTGACTACAGATACATAGAAGATAAAACTATATTGAGCTTGAGTGTGGTCTGCTGAATCGGAAAGGACTTCAGGTTTTTCCCTTATAAACATAATATTTTGAAAGAATAGCATGCAATAGGTATTATAATAGAAGCTAATACAAGGGACATCTGGACTGCCACTCTGAATACATGTTAACGATGCCCTGTCATCCAACACGAGGGCTAAGCAAGCCTTTTCGGGGATGCGAGCCTTTTTCTGGGGGCTTACTCATTCCAGTGAGATGGACTTAGAAGAGAGTAGGCCTAGAGAATTCTCCTCTGACAGGGCTTGTCTTTGGGATCTGCTTGAAGCCAAGTTTGTTGGTAGGGAAAGCTTGAGTAACAGAATAAGTGTCAGAGTACTATTTCATTTTTAAACTCTGACATGTTTAATATGTTTAAATAAGCTTGGACATAGATTGAACTTGTATAAGGAGCTGTGTTGGAAGAATAAAAGCACAGGGCAGAAACATATTTAGATGTGATATTTTTTATATTTTAAATAGTTCTTAGGATTAGTATTCTATTTCATTTCATTTACTATGAAATAACTAATGCTAAGAATAAAGGTCTTGTACTTTTGAAGTCCTTAACTGAATGTTTTTATAGGAATGGACATCATTTTTGTCCTTAGCAGTTTTAGTTAGTAAGTAATAATTAGACACTATGGTAATTGTTTGAAATACTGTGCAAGTGCCAATGACAAACTTTCTCTTAAAATGCTAGGAATTTATTGTGTAAAGGGTTCCCACATTCTTTATTGTAGTTTTCTTTCTCATAGTATTTTTGAGACATTTCTGGCATGTTACTTCAGCTTCTTGTTTAATTTCTGCCAAACAGGATTTTTCAGTATTTGTGTCACCAGTGATAGGAAAAAACATCATTGTTAACATTAAAATGTTACTGAGATTTTAAAGGTGGAGAACATCATCTTTTCCTATTTTTCTTTACACTACGGTGTTTGCAATGTAGTGTTCCCAAAATAATAAGCAACTTCTGGGAAATTAGTGAATAGCCAACTAATTTCTCATATAAAACCAACAGGTAAAGGTAGTGCCATCAGATTAAGCTATTAAACTATATTTCCATACTCTGTATCTATAAACTATAAGCTACTAAGCCCTATCAGTACAATAACTATCCATTATTTCAGTCAACCAGAATTTATCCATTTTTATTCATACCAATCTTGCTTTCAGGATAAAGAGGAATTTTCTTCCTTTTTCTGTTGGTTATGAATGGAAGTCATCAATTTTTTTTTCTGACTTTCATTTAATGGTTTGAAATAAAGAGTCAGATGCATGGCTTTTCAGTTTCTTTTACTACTTTATTTTATTACTTGGTTATTTTAAGGTCAAAAGATTTCCATTTCCAAAATACATAATAGAAATAATAAAGCACTAAAATTCAGACTTAGATAATATGGACATTTTTCTTAAAACTGTCAACATGATTTACAAATTATTTAAAAGGCAGTAAAATTTGAACTTACATAGCATAAACTTTCCCTTAAACTGTCAGATACATGATTTTAATGTTATTTTATTAATATATCACTAGTAATTATTTTTCTTATCAACAGAGAAAGTGAAGTAAAATCTAGTTACCGAAGAAATCATAAGAATTGAAACACTGGATATTACTTTGTTAATTTGGTTTCGTTTATCTGAAGTCTATATTTCTCCTGTGTTATCTGAGATCAATGCTATAAATTCAAATAACTGAAGGAAAGGTGAGGGTTTTGTGGTTGAATCAGGCTCCAAACATCATTTTTGTATAAGTTATCTGGAGAATTGACAAAAGTGGTTTCATTTAAAGGCTATCTGTAGGAGATAATTGCTTCAATTTTCCATTTAGCCAGAATGATCCTGGCCATAATGTCCTCTTCTGTTAAATTTCTTTCAAAACAGGATTCCAGAATCCCTACAAAATCTGTAATAGTGCTCCTCATTTGGGTAATTTAGCATCATCACAGACATCCTGTCCTAATTCATTTGTAAAACAATACCTCTACGTATCTAAAATAGTTTTTCATAAGAAGAATGTTCCATAGGAAAAATAGTTCCAAGGGAAAAACAATTGTCTTGTCCCTTGGAGAAAATGCTATTAAATAGTGTGTTATGAGAACAGATAACGTTTTCCTTGGCTCTGTGATTTTTTTCAATGCAAATTTTGATTAGAGAAATGACTTCAAAATAATCAGTCCATAGTGGTTCTTTTGAGGACTGTTAAGTGAAAAGTCACAAAATGAAGCCCTTCTCCATGTATGCAAAACTATTTTCATTCCCCAGGAGACTTGCAGCATTTAGTATTTCTAGAAAGGTATAGCAGAAGTAGTGCTAGAATTGTGATTTTTGCCATCTGATGTTCCCTAATGACAATAGATTCTCCGGAAAACAATTGAAAATTAAAAACGATAATAGTATGTTCTATATATCTGATGATATATATGTTCTCTAATATATTATATATAACATATATATATATATGTTCTCTAATATTTATTGTTAGGTATACATAAAGTATAGCCAATTGTGATAACTACTACCTTATTAGCACCTGTTGTCAAAGCTTTGAAAGCAAAGCTTGTAAGATTAGGAACAACAGGAATGTGTTCCTTAAAATGATAGGATTATTTAAAAAATATACTCCACCAGTCCATCCTGGTGGGAGAGTATTTACATGGTATGGGTATGAGTATTTGGTCAAAGTGCTTGAAACATTAGGTCACACCAAAAATGGTTTTGAAATGTTTACTTGTTCAAAATGCATTTCTTGCCAGTACACTACTTGTTGATCATTTTATATCCTATGCCTAGAGTGTTTAAAACGCTGTATCACAGGCTTCTGATTCCATGTTGGGCAACTTTTAAATCCATGTGTCAGTAGTGAATGAGCTGATTAGTAGTGTAGATGACTTCTGGGATCTCCCCTTCCCTTTATTGACAGTTCCTTTGTAAAGCAAATGCCAACCCTGCAAGCTAGTAATGAAGACTGGAACTCCCTTATTCATTAGACATGCAGCAGTAAAATGGGTAGGATAGCTATGGAAATGTATTTGCAATGTTTTCTTTGCTCGATACTCATACAAATACCACTATCCCTATTAACTCAAATTTGTAATATATTATAAAAATATTATATTAAATATATTATAAAATACTTATAGTCTTTAGTAGGTTCCTATGACCTTGAATTGGTGTTTGTTTCAGACAGTAATTGCCATATTAGAAATTGCCATCCTTGGGGCACCTAGGTGTCTTAGTCAGTTAAGGGGTTGCCTTTGGCCCAGGCCATAATCACAGGGTCTTGGAATAGAGACCTGCATGGGGCTCCCTGCTCCACGGGGAGCCTGCTTTTCCTTCTCCCTCTAATGTTCCCCCCACTTGTGCTCTCTGGCTCTGGCTCTGTCTATCAAATAAAATAGGCTTGGCCAGTAAAGAGGACCCTGAGGAATAATCCAGGGTACCAGCCGCGCACTCCTCTGCTTCCTCCCGTAGCCATGCCTTGCAACATCGAGGAAATCAAGGACTTTTTGCTCATGGCCTGGCAAAAGGATGCCAAATCCATTAAGATCAAGAAGAATAAGGATAATGTGAAGTTTAAAGTTCAATGCAGGGACTCCTGGGTGGCTCAGCGGTTGAGCGTCTGCCTTCAGCTCAGGGTGTAATCCTGGAGTCCTGGGATTGAGTCCCACATCGGGCTTCCTGCATGGAGCCTGCTTCTGTCTCTGCCTGTGTCTCTGCCTCTCCCTCTGTGTCTTTCATGAATAAATAAATAAAATATTAAAAAAAATAAAGTTCAATGCAGCAGATACCTTTATACCTGGGTCATCACAGACAAAGAGAAGGCAGATAAACTCAAGCACTCCTTGCCTCCAGGGTTGGCAGTGAAGGAGCTGAAATGAACCTGGCCTACTGACTTGAACTGTATTAAAGTTTTTTTTTAATTCTTTAAAAAAATAAAAATAAAAATAAATTGCCATCCTCATCTTTTGCAACTATTTTAAATGTCAAAGCTACCATCCAAGTACTTTTAATATTTTGAACTTTCTTTTTTTTAACTTCACTATTCAGTTGAATATCATTATTCACCCTTTGAGGACTCATCATGTTGGGGATATCCAACCACTTGCCTAAGATTAATGCTTCACTGAACAGTTTTATCCTATTAGGAATATGGGAAAACAAGCAGCCACTTATCTCTTTTGGCTTAAACCAAAAGAACCTAAATGAAAGAAAGAAACACAAACTAATCTGGTGATACTTTTAAAAGTGCACTAAGGACATGAATGCTTGTGGGTCGTTGTCGTCGTCATCATCATCATCATCATCTGTAGTACTTACTATGTGCTCAGCAGTGTTCTGAAAGCCTACCCATATAACCTAAAAAGAAGCCTTTAAGGCAGTTACTATTATTATCCTTTTGGGGGCTAAAGGAGGCAAGGAGAACAAGGAGGTAAGACTGGTTAGGAAACTTCCCCTAATCACCCAAGTAGAAGGTGCTAGAGCTAGAATTTGACCCCAGGTAGTTAGGTTTCAGAATCAACCCTCAGTCATTATGGCTTAGCTTCATGTTATGATGTCTTATTATGTCCACGTTTTTTATTTTGTATAACTTTAGGTGGGAAGACACTCATTTGAACTTCCCTATTTTTAAATCCTCCATTGGGGTTTTGAAAATATTTTTTTTTAGTAATAAAAAGTTACAGTTGTTACAAAATTCCCAGAGCACCTAAATTTTGAGTTGTTCTAAGGCTTCATTTATTTCTGGCTCAACTTTTTCTGAATCATCATTCACAAATGAACAAGGCTGATCTTATAATATTGCCATGTTCAGCTCTCCAAAAATAACCATTGTGGCACATGACCTATCATTCCTATGGATTCTATTGAATGATGAGCTCAGCTACTTGTACAAATCGTTTTATTTTCCTTCTCTTTTAATACTGTCAATCAGCAAATCAGGAGGCAGTACTTCTTTTTATGGTGTTGCTCAAATATGAGGATTTTACACTTTAAATGTGCTTTCATGTCTTAACCCACTGTCTGTCATAAACAAAGCCAATAAAAATGTGCCATGTTATTACTATTTTCTAAATCCGAATTATTTTCCAAATCAGTGAATGCCATGTTATCATTGTCATTTCCTTACGATGTTTTAAACAACTGAGTTAAGGGAGCTTGGGTGGATAGAATTTAGCAAGTGGTGAAAAGAAAAAAAAATGACCTCTTGGTTGTTAGATAAAATGCAGTTGGATTTTGACCTGTGTGTGATGGCCTTGTCCACAGTTAATGACTAAATTGATCTATTCTTTGTGGATTTGTTTTTTCTTGTCAGCTTTAAAGATCAATTTTTGCCTTATTGCTCAGGTTGTCATGGAGTTTGTTTGTTTTTGTCACTGAAAGATAAAGAATTCCCTACAAATCAGGGATATGTCTCAGGTAAAGATAGACAATAAGGAAGTCAGATTTTTGAGTTGAAGAAATCACTGATGTTGAGGAATATAATTTTTTTGTATTTTGTTTAACCAGATTGGCTACTTTTGTTTATCATATTTTGTAGATAATGAGTTGCACATTACTTGTTAAATGTCTCTTCGTATATGGTAATGATCTAGATTCTATACCAAATCAGGCAAAGAACAGGACAGCTTTTGGTTTATAATCTAGGACAGAAAAAGCAAGCATAGTTTTTAAATGTAATGGATATTTAAATAATGGATATATTTATATCTGGAAAAGGAAAGATAAATGCATTTTGTGGTATCCAAGATTGGTTTAGAGAAGGGGATTTAGAGAAGGTCACTTTGCCTTATTGTTAGTCAAGAGATAATTCATCGATGGGGTATATTTTCAAGAGGAGTTGGAAACAGAGGGAAATGGATGTTAGTAGGCTTTATTTGGGATAATAAAGACATTCTAGGAATGGACTTTAACATGAAAAGATACAGATGTGGAATGATAGCACTGGAGGCAAGGTAAAATAGACATAAGTAAATAGAAGGTAGAACTAAGAATTGAAGACTTTCCTTAATTCTCTGAAAGGAGGTGGTGTTTTTATGAAGCCAGAGTGGTATAAAACCCTGTTCACACCTGGAAAAAAATGTACAGAATGTGTAACGTTTAAATTAAAGTTTGAATGAAAGTTTCATTCTATAACAAATTAGTCATTAAGTATATTCTAGAACACTTTCTTAACTGGTGTCTGAAGTACCTGGAAAACAATCATTAAAATTTCATTTATATTTGGTGATAGGCAGATCATTCCCTAGAACATTGTCTAAATGCTGCTGAGAGATGTAATTTGACTAGCAAATTAATGGTTTCTGGTGATCTTAATGTTAACATAACATTTGGAGGCATTGCTCATCAGGGGTGCAGTATCGTGTTTTACAAGATGCATGAGACAAAGGCATTTAATGAGTTTTGGCTGCACTGCACATATTGTGCACAACTCTGTTCAAACTGTTACAGGCTTCCTGCCAAGATATGTAGGAGAAATTGCCTAAAAGATTAGTAGAAGAAATGGTCCCATCCCCTGCTGTGTACCCTTGTGGTTGGTTTGTCAACAGTTGGAGAAAATTTTGGTATGGACGGTAAACAATTAATGTCAGTTCACTGAAATGCTGGACCCCTGCATAAGATTTTTGAAAAGAGAAATGGTGACTCTAGTATAGTATTTTCTTCTTTGTGATAAGTGGTGGTTTTAATAGGTAATGGCTATTCCTGATATTCATTATTCTTGTCTCTTCACATTTTTAATAAAAATTTTCTGTGATAAATTCCATTTGATATACTTCTAGAAAATGAATGGCTAGTAATATTGCAAGTTTAATATTTCTTTTTTGTATACATAGCAAAAATTTAAAATTATTCATATCCTTATGAAATTTTAAACATAAATAAATAACAATTAAAGTTGTTACCCATTAATAGTCTACAAATGAAAAGTGGCAAAGGCTGTTTGTTATCCTACATGGTCTGCTGGTTAGAGAACACACATACATAAACATTATCCCTGAGTTGTAGAATAAATGTGCAATCGAAGAATAAATTATCTATAAAATTGGAAACATACACAATTGGAATAGTTTTATTTAAAAAAATTGGTGGGGGGGGACCTCTGAGTAACTCAGTGCTTAGGCATCTGCCTTCGCCCCAGGGCGTGATCCCGGATCCGGGGATTGAGTCCCACGTCAGGCTCCCTGGGAGGAGCCTGCTTCTCCCTCTGTCCATGTTTCTGCCTCTTTCTGTGTTATGTCTCTCATGAATAAATAAATAAAATCTTAAAAAAATTTTCTTTGGAGGGGACACCTGGGTTGCTTAGCGGTTGAGCGTCTGCCTTTGACTCAGGGTGTGATCCCAGGGTCCTGGAATCGAGTCCCGCATTGGGCTGTCTGCAGGGAGCCTGCTTCCCCTCCCTCTTCCTATGTCTCTGCCTTTCTCTCTGTGTCTCTCATGAATAAATAAATAAATTCTTAAAAAAATTTTTTTTTGCAAAATATTTAGTGTATTCTCTTTGCTGGCTATCAACATTTTTTCTTGTATGTTATCTTAAAAATATCCATTCTTTATCAGCTTATAAATGTTTTACATGGTAACAAAGCTTAATTTTTTTGTTACACCATTACAAAACATATTGGTCAACATTTATTGAGTATTTTCTGTGTGCCAGGAACTGTTCAAAGTGCTTTATATGTATTAACTCATATTGACTCATATTAACTCATGGTAATCCTAAGAGGTGTTTACTGTTACCAGCATCATTTTATAGAATAGTGAGGTACTGACTACTCAGGAAGTTTGTCCAACCTCACAGCTGGAAAGAGGTGAAGTGAGGACTCAGTCCAGGCAGTCTGATATGACTGAGTCAGTCCTGTTGATCATTATGCATATTACCTTTTTCAGATTACCTGGAAATGAATGTTTGTGGTGGGTAGAATTGAACTGTAGAGTGGTTTTAAATTAGAGGCTCTTTTTAGGACTGCATATGTTCTGCTTTTAAAAATATGATAGCCAAACTAAGGTTTGAAATGATTCAGATGGAATAGTACTGCATTCAGTACTATTATTATTATTTTTTATCATATTACCTATTTTAAGTATATGGTTCAGTAACATTCGTACATTCATACTGTTGTGCAGTTATCGTCACTTTGCATCTGCAGAACTTTTTCGTCATCCCAGAATGAAACTCTACCCATTAAATAATACCTTCCCACTATCCCCTTTTCTCAGCCCTTGGCAAACACTATTCTACTTCCTGTCTCTGTATCTCACTTTTCCCTTCTATAAAGTGATGATGATAACAGTAATTACCTCTTAGGATTATTGTGAGTTAATAATAGGCTTAGCATAGCGTGATCTCTCTTCAGAGCTATGTCAGACTGCAAGGGGGGCACTTGGATGGTAGAGTTCTTCTGAGATGAACCCACCATCATTTAAATTGCCTGCTATTTCACCATTATTTTCTGCCTAAAGAGAACTACTTTCATGGTATGGGTGTGGGGTGGGCAGGTGGGGGCTGTGGGTGGGAAAGAGGCAAGATGGGAAGGAAGGAAGTTTGAAGAACCTATTAACAGGAATGAAATGGAACATCAATTTCTATTAGGAATTCCAGTGAGAGGTGTGTGTGTGTGTGTGTGTGTGTGTGTGTGTGTTTGCATGTGCATTGTGTATGTTGGTGGAGCTTGAGGAGTTAGGGTTAGATATATCAGAATCAACTGTGAGTTGTTTTCAAATTATTCTTTGCTGTTTCACATCCCGATTCTTCAGGGGTCAAGCTAGAGTCTCTGGGGTTGGAAGTCTGTGTCATTTGTGGAAGCCCTTTTGTTGGTGTTCGTACCCCCCCAGAGCCCATCCCCATACTATTTTACACACTACCACACAGGCACTCACACATCAC